TAACAAAATGTGGAAAAAGTGAAGCGCTGTGAATACTTTCCGGATGCAATGTGTGTGTATATATATATATATATACACATTTTTTTTTACACACACACACACACACACAGATTACACAGATCTCAGGTTCCTTTCGTTAAACATTTCAGTTGAAAACATTCCTCGTGTCTGTCCTCACATTCTCTGTCTGGGCTGTTGTCCTGCAGCGGACTCTCGATGAAGACTCCCCCTCTGCCATGTGTGATTTCCTCCCTGCCTTGGAGCGACGGGACGGACTATCTGGAAGCAACAACCTGTACCGCACGAACCGGTCCGACCTGTTCACTCTGACGCCACTGTGTCCGAACAGCGGCACTGAGCTGCCCGGTCGGTCCAGTCCCACGGACAGGACGATCGGCGGCAGGAGTCCTGGCAGCAAAAGAACTATTGGCAGATCGCCCTCGGTGCAGAGCGCCAAGAAGGCCCGACGCAGGCCAGCCGCCCGCCCGCCACTGGTACGACACAACGCAGAGACAAGCAAAGTCTCTGCTGTCCTCCAGCAGCACAACAAGGCCACCGTGTGTGCGTGCTGAAACACACACACAGACGCATTAACCTGCTGCCTTCCACGGTCCAACCTGTCTCTGGTGACTCTTCTGTCCAAGTGTCCAGAGACCAGGACACAACGTACAGAGCGCTCATTTTAACAAAAAAACATTTAGACAGTCTCCAGATTCCTTGTAGCTGTGCTGATTGAAAGGCGTCTTAATGGTTCCTCTTACTGGTAGACGTTGTAAGAAAGAAGTGTGACTAATGATGACGGTGCAGCTATTATGCATTTTACAGTTGAGTGTTAAGTAATAGGTAATGTTCATGTAAAACAAATATATATTTTTGTACATTCTTTTATTGTTTGATGATAAAACGTGACAAGTAGCTCAACAACAGCCCTCTCCCCCGTTTCACGCTCTGCATAGACACTTGTGTGCACACCCTGGGCTTAAACATATGTGTGTTTTTATTCTCATCATTTTATTTAATCACGAATAAATGTAATATGAAGTGACGGTGATGCTACACCAACAGCCCTGTAAGCTACTACATTGTGAATATTGATCTATAGATACTTGTAACGAGTTTTGGTAGCACTTGTATTCTTTGAGCGTACGCATTGGACACATCTGCGCGAGCGCTCAAATAATGGCAGATGTTTTTAAATTGAAATAGCACAATGCATGTTAAGGGATGGATAGATGCACCCTATTAATCATATTACAATGTTGGGAGCTGTAGGTTTAGAGTTAGGTAGGGGTAGGGTTAGTATTCCATTCAACCTTTTGTCGGGAGCCAGCTCCACCCGGCCCTACGTCAGGTCAGGATTTGTCTTTGCTGAAGTTGGTTTGCTTCGTCCAGGCGTCTCTGAAACCAAATCTTTTCCACAACTCGATGTTTACAGTAGCTCTGAAGTATCCAGTTGTGCCGCCATGCTCTCACAGGGGCAGCACCAGATGTGTTGAGGTGGGTTTGACCATCTGTCCCAGTAACAATGTGTCTACATCTGTTGGGATTTCCTTCTCATTGGGGAGTAGTGACGTAATGCACGGATACTTTGTTGCTTTTCCACTTTAATGGTGAACTGAATGTCTCTGTTGAAACGATGCATAGGGGTGGATAGCATTAGCAGAAAAACTCGGCCCATGTAGGAGGTCAGACACTTGACGTCTCCTGCCTAGTCTGAGGAGGGTTTGCCTCTAGTGGTTTAGTTACAGGACAGACTGTATGATTTAGATGAGAAATATTACCTGAAATAAATAAAAGAATGTCCGGTATAAGACCGATGTCTCCATCTTTGTAAAACCACCACGTTACACGATGATGCTTTTTCATTCAGTGCAATGAACAGAAATTAGCAGCATTATTAATGTTTGAATTTGACGCTTCCTCTGCAAACACCGTTACTTTGCTCGGGATTCCTGTGTGACTTACGTATTTTGTTAGTTTTGTTTTTATTTCTCATGGATCTTCGTGTAATCATTTACTAAAAGCCTAAAGTGCATGTGTACAGTGTAAATGTGAAACATGTCTGTGGAAATGAACCTATTTAAATGAAAAGCTCTGAAATAAAGTGATTACTATGACATTTCCTTAGATGTGACACATACTATCTAACAATATTTTCATGCTTTGCATTTAAGTCTAAAGTTGGTTTGAATACTACAACTTTTGATTCTTCAGTCTCATATTCACACACACTTTCTCATGTGCTTCTTTTTACCATAAATTCTAATTTGACACACAGTCTCAGTGCTATAATCTATCCTATTTATATGAGTGTTATATAGTGCTATTTTGTTACATTATTCTGGTTACAGAAGATATGACATTTACTGTCCTCTGAATAATGGTCGTCTCGATGCACGCGCATCGAGGGCTCGTAAAACATCAAATGACATTTGTGAGGTCATTATCAAAGAAGGCTTTAGTATCATGTATCCACATCTGTCTCTCTCTGTGGTCTCTCTCTCTCATTGGTGTGTGTTATTGAATCTGCAATGCATAAGATAACAAAAAAAATTAAGCCAATCCTCTGTCTCACCACAAATAGCACACTGTACACATAAACTCAGCAAAAAAAGAAACGTCCCTTTTTGAGGACTGTGTATTTCAACAATAATGTTTTAATAATCCAAATAACTTTACAGATCTTCATTGTAAAGTGTTTAAACAATGTTTTCCATGCATGTTCAATTAACCATAATCAGTCAATTAACATGGACCTGTGGAATGGTCGTTAAGACCTTAACAGCTTCCAGAGAGTAGGCATCTAAGGTCACAGTTCTAAAAACACTAAAGAGACTTGTCTACCGACTGTGAAAAACACCCAAAGAAAGATGCTCATCCGGACATGATCCTCCAGCAGGACAATGCCACCAGCCATACTGCTCGTTCTGTGCGTGAGTTTCTGCATGAACCCTGCAGCCCTCTCGAGGAGCGCTGTCATGTCCCGGCAAAACAAATGTTTCATCTCCTGGGGCCTGTTTCAGAAAGGAGGTTAAGTGAAAACTCTGAGTATGTTAACCCTGAAATGAGGGAAACTCTGAGTTTTCTGTTTCAGAATGGGAGGTATGTTAAACCTGAGAAAGCAGAGTAAGTCAAGCCTGTTTCAGAAAGAGAGGTAACTTATACTCAGTCAGTTACCATGGCAACTTACTCTGTGAACCTAACCTGGTCGGGAGCAGGTTTTCTTCGGGAAACCCAGAGTTTATTTCGTCTCCTCCCCTTTTTTAAAGAGGAAGTGGTATTTAATCACCTCATTCATTCTTTCGGTATTCATTCATTGCGCACATTTCAGTCACGCAGAGCGCATCAAATCGACACTGGATGCTATTTAGTTATTTTATATGTCAAATGTTTTTAAAGTCAGGTAGACTACAACCATGATATGTTCCAAGCCTTACCTGATTGAATTATGTTTATATATTTCATTGTCAGCTGCTGCCATGTTCTTTTCATGCCTGCAGGATTGCACCTACATGAAAATTAAAATTAGGTTGAACACACTGTTCTTCCAGTTTCACTTCTGATATTATAACAGTTGGGCAAGTCACTTATATTACTAACTACAACTGGCTTCTTCAACAGTGTAATTAGATTAATGTAATAATGACTATCTCTAGAAAGTATTGGTCTACTTATTACTAATTACTTTCTAAATCCCATATCAACCTCAACCACTTGAACAATACAAGGAGAGACAAGAAACTGCACTTTTAATGCTTTCAAATAAACATTATACAATTGCATGAATTATTCTTGAAAAAATATATCTTTTACATTACATTACATTACATTACATTACATGTCATTTAGCTGACGCTTTTATCCAAAGCGAC